AACACAGTGAACATGTTGCATCCACTTAAGTTACAATGGATTATATTTCTCATAGTTATAATGTATTATAAGTCTCCTATCTTGCCATCTTTCTTATGCTACTTTACCTAAAGCAATCAAAGACCACTTATAGTAAGTATAGTAATGATAATAATAATAATATTTTTCTCAAACGGTTCCCCAACAGACAAACTGACTGCAAGTAACTTTGCAAGTACGTCAACATTCTACCTACCCTAACCTTAAACTAAGCCTACTAATACTCTAAATGAGAGTTAGTTGACATGTAGTTGCAAAGTTGCTTATAGTCAATAGACTAAGGGGACCATCAAAATAAAATGTAAACTAACATATAAACATTGCTTTTTTTTTCAGTTGAAATTATTAACTAGCTCACATCAAAATTAATATTAGCCTCACAGGGAACACTCAACACCTAACCACTCACAAGATGTAGTAAGATACTGTGCAGAACTTAAATAAACAATGTCAAGATATATAGCCCATTATAAATGTAAAAGTAGATTTAATATGGTGTTCCTTGTGTGTTATAAATAATCATAATCTTAAAAGTTATAACCACAAATGTGTAAGCATTATAATGTATTATAATTGTTGTTATGATTATTTATAAGATTATATAACGTATTATAAGGTTTTTTATAATGCATTATGCATTCATTATAATATCTTAAGAATACCCTTATAATGTATTACAAATGTGGGCTTCATAGAAAGTGTTACCTCAGTCTCTTTGTCTAAGTATACATGACACAATGCGTAATCAGATAATTGAAGTATTAAATACTCATTGCACATCACCTCTGTTTGATTAACTTGTATACATGCTGCACGAAGCTGAGCTACAATCACATTATCTAGGCCAGTTAGTCAGACTGCCATGATGTTCATTTAACATCATAAAAAGACAAATTACTGCTTTAATTTAACTGAAATGAAACTTTTAAAGTGCATGTCAACTGCGAGATAGCGATTAGCTCTTTGCTGTTCATACAGCTGTTCTGTACTCTCTCTTTTGTGATACAAAAATATACCACACATCCCTGTGTCTCATCTGCTCACTGCTGTCAGTCCCTCTTCACTCTTCAGAAGAGGCTTGACAATACCTCCAACTGAAAAGAAAGAGAGAGAGCGCAGATCAAACCTGAATTGAATTTGGGAAGGACTGTTCAGATGTTGCTAAGCAACCCAACCTTCCTCAATGGAAGAGACCTCTCCCATTTCTCGCTTCTCTCTCTCTCTCTCTCTCTCTCTCTGCTCATTTCTTCCTGCTTCCCCTGTCGCTTTCTCTGTCTCACTCTCTCACTTCCCACTTTGTCAGAGAAACTTGCCATCCTCTTGAGAATGCTCATTTAATTTAGAAATATTACCCTGCCTCTCTGAAGTGTGTGAGACTTGGCTCAGGGCAGGGCATGACTGCTGCTCCTCCAGCTTTCAAATGTACACTACTGTATCTTCATAACGCTCAGGGTGGTTGAGTGTATCACGCTACAGTTAGGATCTCAGTGTTGGATCTATGCTTTTTACCCTTTTACTCTAAAGTGACTTGGACTGGAGAATATCCATATGCATGAGAGGACACATGTACCCTCAGTAACCACTGCGGAAACATCATATTTCATCTTATTCTCTCACTGACAGCACATGTAAGAGCAGGCCTACAGCCATGTGTCTCCAAAATGCCTGCAGTGGTTTAGACTCCAGTGCAGATAAAATTGCCACATCCTCCCCATCAAGTCCTATTACTGTCTGACCTTGTTTCATGAGGAATCTGTGGATTAGTTTGAATGAGTTTGATTGGGTCTGAGCCAGTGCGTGTTGCATACAACTGCCATAAATCATAATGATCAACTCTTCTGCTTGCAGATGTATTCACAAAGATAAAGATGTATTAGCTTATACCTTACATAATTGAAAATAGCATTTCTTTCTTTTTCTTTCTTTCTTTTGCTCTCTTCTTTTATTTTTACTCTTTCTCCCACTGCTGATCAGTATCTCCTGAGAGGAAAGAATGTGGGCCAAGTTTTTCACAACACACAGCAGACTGTTACTGTGAGATTCTGTTTCTTCTCCTCATCCCTCGTTCTAACTTCTCTTTTCGTCTTTCCTTTTCGCAGCAATTCCACTGGGTCTCATCGTTGTCCCGGGAGACAGTGATTTGGAAACCTGTCGAGCTCACATCGAGAGACTACAGGAGGTAAAAAATGAGAGGGTGGGGTTAACAGATGGAGTGGGGTAAAAGTGAGAAATGAAGAGGATAGGAAAAGAGAGGAGGAGAGAGGTGTTAAGAGTTTGATTAATGATGGGAACAGTCAGTCAGAGTCAGAATATAATGAGGGAGAAGTTATACTGCACTACAGTACAGAGCAGTGGTGCTCAACTGAATTTGCTTTAGGACCCAGATTGTACATCTAGTGGCAACACAACACAGTATCACAATGGTTAATTATACAGTAGCAAAGATCTGCAACTTCCTTATGAACAGCCGTTAATGAAATAGGTATTATGAAATCAATGAACAAATTCATTTCAAATCATTTATTCACCGACATATTGTTCCAAACCTGTGGAACATAACCTGTGGAACATAAAAGAAGATGTTTTGAAAAAAGTTAGTAACCAAGCAGTTTTGGTCAACATTGACTGCCATTTTATGGACGAAAAAAAAAAGCATTTCTGAAAATATCTTCTCATATATTCCATAGAGGAAAGAAAGTCATACTTGATAAATGATGATAGAATTTTCATTTTGGGTTAATTATCCCTTTAAATTATACATATTGTTTATTCATCTATGTTCTAGGTTAATGTTAACTAATTACCATGAATCTAGCTGTATAAATTATGTTACTTTTTATATTGTTCATGGTTTGTTCATGATACCTACAGCATAAACCAGTGTTAACAAATTGAACCTTATTGTTAAGCGTTGCCCAAAAATCAAACATTAAAATATGTGGTTAATGCAGCAACATGTATAATTATAAAAATGACAACTGAAATAAGAAAACTGTCTTTTGAATTCTGACGATGCCATGCTTTCTAGACCAGGAGTTTTCAACCTTTTAGGACATGTGCTGCACACATCTGAATATTTGTGTTGAAGTGTTCTGGAACAGTGTTGTAAATACAACTTAACCACTGATTTCTAGTCGTGTCCATTTTTGGAAGGCCAAACAAAGTAGTTTCGCTTTCACAACGAAACACAGCGTCACACACGGTGGCCTAGAGTGAGCGGTGGCGGCCTAGAGTGAGCAGAGGCCGGGGGCTAGAGTGAGGAACGGCTGGAGGGCTTGAGTGAGCAGAGCAGAATGTGACGACTCCGCTTCGTCCACGGTGAAAGCCGATCCGGTGATCCACAGTGCAAAGTTGTTGTATTTCCTCAGCAACCAGCACGGATCAGCTCCAGGCATGACGAAGCAGATATTGTCCTCTTTTGGAAGGCCAAACAAAGTAGTTTCGCTTTCACAATGAAACACACAGCGCCTTCACGACATGGCGGCGGCTGCAACAACAATACTACAGCGAGAATAAAAGTTACGCCTTCTTTCTTTGCGTGAACATTTGGGCAGCGTTATGCAAATCTTCCCACATAGTGACGTAGATATGTGGGGGCATGTTAGAACGAGCCGTTTTAGGTAGGCGTGGCTGACTCTTAACTTTTATAAAGAATATCTCTTTGGATTTGAGACTTTAGTCTTTGCAACTTTACAGATCTTCTTTATGCACCAAGAGCTTGTAACACTCCAAAGAGAAAGGAAAAATTGAAATCGCATCATATGACCCCTTTAAAACAACCGACTGTGCTTACAAGGATACTTGTCAAGACAGAACATTGGTATTCACCTGCTGTCCGAGAAGGCTATCTGTTTGTGCACTTCAGATGTGTGCGCGGTGCGCATAGAAACGCTTTATTACAGCGCGTGCGTACCGCACTGAGATGTCTTGGGCTTATATGGCGTAAATTACTTTAATGTTTAAATTGACAAGACTTAAAACACGTGAGAATGAAAAACTTTCTTGAGGAAGCAGCACTGGCCTGATCGTTAAGATAGTAAATCATTTTGCACTGTCAATAAGCTAGTGATGTTTTGTTCGTGAACGAATCGTTCTTTTTGAACGAATCTTTTAGGTGAACGAATCGTTCTCGTTCACGTAATCCATTGACTCATATTTCTCATTCACTGAAATTCCTCCCTCCAGAGCAGCGCGGTGCTATTAGCAGCGCATGCGCAGATCAGTGAACCGGGTAGCTCTGTGTACTTTCATCCTGTCAAAGAATGACAAACCTCAAGCCAATAGCCTTCGAGTTTGAGATGTGACGGAGCATGTGATTTGTTGAATGTAGTGAACGAATATGCCCTTCACTGAACGAGTTTATTTTGAGTCTGAACGAGATCGAGAGATCTTCTCGTTTGTGAACGAGTTGAATGAACTGGTACATCTCGTTCGTGAATGAAATGACCGAACTGGTACATATCTAGTTCGTGAACGAAATGAATGAGAGTGTACCTGGTCAGTCGTCCATTTAGCATGTCAATCTCGATCAGCAATCAGCAGAAAGCAGATGCAAAGCGCAGTTATAGGTAGTGTGCACATACGCTTGTTTATATATTCATATTTAGCATACAGAACATAACTCCACGTTTAATCCCCGATTTATGAATGTGTAATTGTCGGACCAAACAATTAAAATGTTAATTATGCAAGAAAACCTTGTGCTTTGGTCATCTGAACAACTTATTTAGACTTTATTTAATTAGATTATGCACACATTTTAATAAAGCCAAATCAGTTTTTGTAACAAGTGAATACGGTCGTTGACTTAAGACACAACACATAAAACACTCTTTTTCGCCACCTGCTGGCGTATTTATGTAATATGAAGAAATGGTCACTGAACGAATCAGTGAACGAATCTGAACAAATCATTTTGGTGAACAAACTGAAAATGAACGAATCTCTTGAAAGAATCAAAATTTCCATTACTACAATAAGTGTGACTGACACTCGAGCCAACTCTGCTCTAACTGTCGACTAGCAGTGGGAGTCAGATTGCCCCCTAGTGGATGGCTAAAGATTTGCTAACTCATATTCATAAATCCTCAAGGGAATGTCTCTGAATTAACTGATGCTCGCGCCCCCCTTGACAGGTGAAAACCCCTGTTCTAGACAACAATTCACAAGACAAAACAAATTGGGATTTGTGCAAACAATGTTTGTCCTTTTGCAAATGAACCCATATTCAGCCTTGTGTAATAATGTATTTTGAATCCATGCCAGCATCCGCCTCATGTAGCTTGTTTCTGTGAAGTGACAAATTAAATACTGTAGTTTAATCAGACACACAGTTTTTGATGTCAGTAACTAAAAATAATGCAGTGTTTTCTCCTCCTTTTTTACAAGTTATTCTAATAATTTACTGTTGTGACTATGCTCATTTTTTGGCTAGCTGAACATTATTATATGCATTTACCATTGTTTTTTCACTACTGTTGTGAGCCACCAGTTGTTGAGAGCCCCTGGTATAGATTATCTTATTCATTCATGGCATCTCATTCTGGCCTTGTTTAAGTTCATACATTCCTATTAAGTTACAGTGGTTATATGTAACAAAGTTCGTAGTCACGGGAAGAAGGAGGCAGGAACCGGCGCTCATTTAAACATAACTTTAGTTTAATAATAAAATAAACCCAAAACTGAAAATAGCGCGACAGCCCCTCACGGACGACTGCTGCGCACAAACAGAAACAAAACAACATAAAATCCAGGCCTGGTCCTCTCTCGTCCTCCACTGTCGTCGCTCCTCCATTTATCTTTCCGGAGCTCCTCCGTGGGACTTGAGACCGGTGAGTGGCGCAGGTGTCCCTCATTATCTTTCACTCCACCGGCCTCGCTCCGCTCTCACAGCTCTCGGCCCCGCCCCACTCGTCACATACCCCCATCGCCCCTCGCAGGCTGGGGGTACCCACGAGACTGCGCTCTACTTTCCCCCGGGGGCCCCGTCACAGCGGCCACAGCACCTGGGGGTATGGACAGACGAGGCAAGAGAAAAGGAGACGGAAGGATGAGGAGAGACAGAGACGAGAGAGGGAAGAGAGGGAAAAAAAATTCTTGTTCCGGTTCCCAGACACACTGCCGCTCGGCCCTCCACCAGCTGGGCAAACTCTTCCGCGATGTCTGGCGGTGGCGCTGGATAGCCCTCGGTGGGTGGGTCACAACCCAGGCGGCCGGCAGCGAGTTCGTCTGCCCCCCCGGTCACTCCAGCCCACCGCCTCGAGCATCCATGGCGGCAGACTGCTCCGCCATGCTCGATGGCACCACGGATTCACCACAGCAGCGAGATCTCTGGCAGCGTGTCCCTCCTTCCTCCCGGGTTTCGGCACCAATGTAACAAAGTTCGTAGTCACGGGAAGAAGGAGGCAGGAACCGGCGCTCATTTAAACATAACTTTAGTTTAATAATAAAATAAACCCAAAACTGAAAATAGCGCGACAGCCCCTCACGGACGACTGCTGCGCACAAACAGAAACAAAACAACATAAATAGTCCAGGCCCGGTCCTCTCTCGTCCTTCACTGTTGTTACTCCTCCTTTTATCCTTCCGGAGCTCCTCCGTGGGACTCGAGACCGCTGAGCAATAGAGAAGGCAATGAGTGTTATCACTACGTCGGAGACACGCTAGCTTTCCCAAGGCCGACGAACTTAGAGTGATTACAATAATCCGGGTTTAAATCGCACTCAAATTGATTTGATTTTGACGCAGTATTTGTCCTCCACTGTCGTCACTCCTCCTTTTATCCTTCCGGAGCTCCTCTGTGGGACTTGAGACCGGTGAGTGGCGCAGGTGTCCCTCATTATCTTTCACTCCACCGGCCTCGCTCCGCTCCCACAGCTCTCGGCCCCGCCCCACTCGTCACATTATACAAATATAACTTCACAATTAGCTGAAAAACAGACCAGTAAGAGCCTTCGTTTAGAGGTATATGTACAGTAAATGATGGTTTAATGGTTCACACACACACACACACACACACACACACACTCTCTCACACACTGTGCAGCAGGTCAGAATGAAACACCCTTGGCAGTAAGGTTGTGTGAGTGTCTGGGGCAGAATTAAGTGTTCTTCAAAAAGAAAAGTAGTCTCAAAGTTAAATGCTTACATTCATTCACATGCTGTAGGGTCTTCTCCAAGAAACACTGTTGTCCATCTGCTCCAATCTGTATGTGTCTGAACTGACGGGCTGATCTAATGGGCTTTGTGTGTATGTATCTAATGTAATGGGGTCTCCTGCAGGACTTTGTGTCGTGTCACCCATCCCTGCAGCGGCTGGTGCTCCAGGTGGGTGAGACACCTGCGAGAGGTGAGACAGGCACACCTGGAGCACTTTCAGGAACAAGACTGGAAATACAGCCTGGACAATGAATCGAGAAAACCAAACAGAGTGCTGTTTGTACAATCAGATTTTGATAGGCATGCCTCCACAAACCCAACCTAGATAAACTTCAGCAGCACATTTGTGTACTATAAAATTATGCTCGGAGGCAGACATGTTTACCGTGAGAGTGCATAAACCACTGGAGAGATAAAATAAGCAAGAGAGTTTGTCTTCACATACTGTAGAGCTTAACATGATCCCTAAAGCAAAGTATTCTGAAATTCATCCTAAATCTCTCCCACATCTTTCTCTGTGAGATTAGAGCACTCTAGCGCCTCCTAGACACTAGTCTGTTTGCAGACGTGAAGAGAACCCTCGTTAGTACAGCATTCCCTCTTGACAGATGTTATGGGTGAAACTTCAAATAAGCACACATTACAGTAAGCGCTTACTAAGTTAAATCCACTCAATCAGATCTTCGTTCCCTGAAGATTTCCCCTGGGTCCTAAGTGCTCCTGTGTGCTTTGTTTGGATGGATGCCTTGGATCACATTTAGCCTCTGTAGAGAATGGCAGCTTTCTTTATAGTGATGGTGCATGCAGGTGTTGTGTTTATTGTGTGCTGTGAGTGTAGTCTTTGTAATGTGTATTTGACTCTGTTGCATGACTTATGTAGATCTTCAATTGGCAGTTTGGTGCTTTAGGGAAAGAATTGATGTGACAGAAAATAATGACAGGTCTGTGTGTGTGATGAAAATAGTAAACTTATGCACTGTTCATATACTGATCATTTGCTTCTGCAAAAACTGACACTAATCGGAATTCTATCAACCTTTCTTCTCTTCCCATCTCCTACCCTATATTTTCTTCTCCTTTCTTTCACAGGAAGGTGACGGGACCAAATCAAAGGCTTTGTCGTCTCAGAGGCTGTCGCCAAAATGGTGCTTTCTCGACTGTGAGTATTCTTTTCACAGTAGTTTGGATGTTAGAATTCGGAGTTAGATCTGGGGTATTGAACAGCAAGTGTGCCATGGTGGCCCTCAAGGATGTGGGCTGGAGTTGTGTTTATCAGTGCACAAAGCTGTAGGTGTTTGCAGTGAATAAAATGGCAAAGAGTAAAGGTCAGAGATTCAAAACTGTGAGTCAGACCCACAAAATATTATCTTATCAGTGCCAGAATCAAAGCTAGGAAAAGAGAAAGAGTCATGAATCTCCATACTAAAGAACAGAATCTACTCTGGCATTTCAGTGCCAATAAGGAGTGCCAAGATGATTACTGTCAGCAGGAGAGAATTACAGCCACAGGGAAAGATTATATTTTTTAAATATATTCAATAAATTTTTTCAATAAATTCAAATAGAAAATAGTTATTTGTTATAATATTATAATATTTCACAATATTACTTTTTTACTGTATTTTTGATCAAATGAATGCAACCTTGGTCACTTCTTTCAGAAACAATAAGTCATACTGACCTCAAACTTTTTAACGGTAGTGTATGTATTTAAACAGTGCTTTATTGTTTGTTTGTACACTCTATCCTACAAGCCCATTATTGACACTATGCATACCTTTATGTGAACAGCTTTCCAATTTTTGCAGTAATCTCCTTTTTGATCAATGTGAATCTGTGAAGATGTGGATTAATGTCAGCTCAAAGAAAAGTGGGGAATCGGACTACATAAGTCTTGAAAAGGATGCAACGTGTTCACAACCTAGCAATATCAATGCATACTTAAATAATCTCATATAATGGCAACTAATTTAAAAAGACTGATAAGGGGGAAATGTCTTCAAGGAGTCAAGGCTTTTAGATGACATTCTTCAAATGTAAACATTCCCGAATGCACTGAACTTTCAAGGAGCAAAGACATAATTATACACATTATGTATTCTATGAGAAGTGATAAATAAAAATAAATATTTTTTTGCATACAGGTGTCACTTTTGTTGAGAGGTACATCGAAGCACTGACGCAAGTTGTGTTGAAAAGGCCATCAGGCTTTCCTTTGACAGCATCTCAAGATGTGGGGAGTCAGTCAGCATTATACACAAATCCTCTGTGACAGCTGAGTCACGTTCACATAGATCCTAAACTGCTACACATCAAACCAGTGAAATAGTACATCACATTCCCCTGTTCAATAATTGCATCTTTCCACCCTTTTTTCATCCTTTCATTCCTGTCCCTCCTTCCTCACTTCCCACCGGCCCAGAGGAAAATTCATCTCCTCATTTTAAGACTAAAAAGTTTCGAGGGCTTTATTACCAGAGCAGAGAACTGCAGGATGAGTCAGAACTTTTCAGAGTGATTGTGGCAGCACTTCTGATCTCAGCTCAGTCTTATGAAGTTGCTGTCAAGTAATTACCAGTGCAAGCAGGGGCAAAGTCTGATCCGAGGCCAGTGTTACACAGTTTTCCTGGATCATCTCAGATAATTCCTGCCCCAGAGCAGATGTCACCAGAGTGTGAGGAATCATGTGCATTCATTACTTTTGCTGCAAATGTGTTATTTAAAGGTATGAGGACAAGCTTGTGGGAGTATATGTGTGCATTTTCAGCACGTGCATTCTCTTTGAGAGTAGTTTGCTTCGATGAGATGTGAGATCCACAGCAATCTCTCTTTTCCCGCTAATTAAAGGTGACATATCATGAAAATCTGATTTTCCAGGTTTTAAGTGCTATAATCAGGTCCTCGGTGCATCTACCAACCAAGGAAACGTGAAAAAGATTAACCCAGTAACTTTGTTTTGGTAAGCCTTTTTCTGCAAGCGTCTGAGAAAATGAGCGCGTCTGATTTCGCTCCCTTGGTGACGTGGCAAAGGGATCTCATTATAATATTACCGCCTCTTAATCTGTAAGTTTCCAACCACAGTGCCGTCATTTTGATTTCGCAAGCACAACGGTGTACTAGTTCTAATGCCATGGTGAAAGTTTGAGCAAAACATGCTAACTGTTCTGTCTTTGGCTGCACAGACGAGCACAGAACACTATTTACAGTCCCAGCCTCAGAGGAGACAAGAGAGCAGTGGATTTATTGATTTATTTACTGTATATTGCTGCTGCCACACATCTAAAATAAACATGCGGTTTATTTCCCAGCAGTTTACCTTCACAGACATAACTGACTGTTTTTGTAACTCGTGTGTTTTTAACGTAAACTTGTGTATGAATGAGAACTTAGTTTAGTACTCACATGCTGTGACAGCCGCTTTCTGTCCGTGTGCTTCAGATGTGTGCGCTCAGAAAACCGTATATCTGAAGTTTAAACTCATATGATTTAAAACGCATGATTTCAGCACGATAAAATTGATAATCAGAACCAAAACAGATGTTTTTAGCAGGTCCGAGCTGTAATGGCGCAGCTCTATTCTGGAACATGGGGCAGGGAGCAGCAGCTCATTTGCATTTAAAGACACAGGCCCGAAAAACAGCGTGTTCCTGCTTCCACTCAAAATAGGCATTTTCAAAATGATATAATAAATGATCTGTGGAGTATTTTGAGCTGAAACTTCACAGACACATTCTGGGGACACCAGAGACTTATATTACATATTGTAAAAAGGGGCGTAATATGTCTCCTTTAAAAACAAACATGTCTGGGTCGTTTTGACCCAGCTGGTTTAGGATAAGTATTTGACCCAACAACCCTAACCCTAGCTATTGCTTCAAAATTACTATACTGCTGAAAATAAATTACTATACTCCCAAAATGAGTTGGGAGAGAATGACTACAGTAACATCACAGGCTATAGTAATTATCAATAGGTAAAATATTATTGCAAGAATACAGAAATAGACAAAAATGTAGGCAAAAGTGAAAACAATGTGTACAGATCGAGAAAAAGTGCAGAAAAGAATGGCAACTCAACAGTTACACATCTTATGCAGTTAAATTATATTCATTTTTAAATGTTAATTTAACATTGTTGAATAAATGTTGATTATTATGCTTGGATTAGTTTTCTTTTCCACATGTTTTACTGCAAGCATGGATAGATGTGGCATTGGCACTCACAGAAATGTTGGAACTTGCATGGCATGCATGATCTCTTTCATATCTGGAGCACTGTTGGGTTTCTGATTATGAGCAATTATTAACCCAAATTGGGTCAAATCAAGCCAGCTTCCTTACCCAATAGTCTCAATCAAGTGTTTGAGTTGAAAAAATAACCCAGGGTTTTATAGAGTGTAGATGTTGAAACAGTACTGTTGTGTAATTGGAGACATGAACATTAGAAGAAGAGATATATTCTGTCATCTCTTCTGCTTGAACTTGCTCTTGAATGTCTGGTGCCTAATCACAAGCCTGATTTCTCGTTTTTTATGTTTTGTGTTTGCAGCTACAACAGCTGATCGATTCTACAGGATTGATCGAGCTCAAGTGAGTCCTCTGTACAATACCTCTTTAGAGTAATTCAAACTACAATTGAGCAATTTTAAGTATCCACAAACAAACTATTCACATTTGTCTGGTGTCTGTGTCATCCCTCAGGAGCATCTTAACTACGTGACTGAAATTTCTCAGGATGAGCTGTTCGTTTTGGACCCAGAGCTGGTTGTCACAGAGACGGTCAGCACATCGCCAGGCATGCCAGACCTGGTGGACTCCTCTAGTGATGCCCCTTCTGATCCACGTAAATTTGCCTTCCCATCATCCTCTTCTTCTCCACCAAACTCACCCGGACCCAGGTGAGATACACGGGCAAACATAAAGGGAACCGTTTAAATGTAACCAGCACCACACTGCCAGCTAGTCTTTGCCTTTCTTGACAATATAACAATGTTTTGATGAATGAGTTATTTTATGCAAACTTTCATAAAGGAGACATTTTCATTATCAGTGGCAGCTAATAACTGGTAATAACTGATGGCTGTTAGCTGACAGCAGCTTCTGTTCTGTAATATCAGCCAACAGGGAGCAGAAGAGCATCGAGCCGCCTGGTGGCAGTGTGGTTCTCACAGCTCAGCTGCTTTGTACAAATGCTACATCAACAACACTAATTCTAATACACTGATAACCGTGTTTAACATCCACCTAGGGTGCCTTATATTTGTTACTTTTAAGATGGATTTTATATAAACGTACACTTGTGTGTAGGCAGGTTCATACATGAATGTCTATGCATGTTTGCATGTGCAAATGAGAATGTGATTGTGATATTGTGTGTGTATAGCAGAATAATTGTGTGGTTCAGAGTGAGTAAAACAGAGTGTTTCCTGCAGCACAGAGCTTGATCCGATCCTCTGCCTGAAAAAGTCATACAGCATCACAGCCCCTGCTAATCTCCTGTGTGTGTGTGTGTGTGTGTGTGTGTGTGTGTGTGTGTGGAGGGGTAATAGAGCTCAAGACAGAGAATACAGCAGTGTTAATTTCGTTGACGAATCATTTTCGTCATAATTTTCATCGACAACATTTTTTTCACCGAGGATCATCCACCTAGGGTGCCTTATATTTGTTACTTTTAAGATGGATTTTATATAAACGTACACTTGTGTGTAGGCAGGTTCATACATGAATGTCTATGCATGTTTGCATGTGCAAATGAGAATGTGATTGTGATATTGTGTGTGTATAGCAGAATAATTGTGTGGTTCAGAGTGAGTAAAACAGAGTGTTTCCTGCAGCACAGAGCTTGATCCGATCCTCTGCCTGAAAAAGTCATACAGCATCACAGCCCCTGCTAATCTCCTGTGTGTGTGTGTGTGTGTGTGTGTGTGTGTGTGTGTGTGTGTGTTTGGAGGGGTAATAGCGCTCAAGACAGAGAAAGTGAATACAGAAAGTCAATTAGCTTTTTTTCTGTTTTTCTGTCTTTGTGAATGTTTCAGGTTTAATTATTAAATTACTGAATGAAATCAGTTGAAATTGTGTCAAAATATTTAGCTTAAGCTTCATCATCACACATCCTTTCTGTTATTCTAAATGTAAAAGGTCTGTCAGGAGTGTGTATTTGTTTATGTTCTATTATTATTTTATTTAACCTTAAATGAATGCTTTGCTGAAAAGAGCAGCATTCATTTCTGTTGTTGGTTCAGGCTGGTTAATGCCGGTTATTGCTGATTTTGTGCTGGTAAAGGTTGTCAGCCAGCATTCTGGTTAAGCTGATTGACCATGGAAATCTTATTGGTTAAGCTAGTTAAGAAGCCTGGTGAGGACACCTGCATGTTAGCATCCCATGATGGGGTCCAGCATCCAAAACAGCACATACTCTACTGTTCAAAAGTGTGAGGTCATTAAAATTTTCATTTTTTTGAAAAAAAAAAAAAAAAAAAACTTTTAAATTCAATTGCTCAAAGTGACAGGAAAGACATTTACAATAAATGCCATTTTTAAACTTTCTATTCTTTAAAATTCAAAAATAAATAAATAAAATGTAAAAAATTTTTTAAATCAGTTTCCATGAAAATATGAAAAGGTTTTCAACATTGATAATAATCAGAAATGTTTCTTGAGCACTAAATCAGCATATTAGTTAATTTCTGAAGGATCATGTGACACTGAAGACTGGAGTAGTGTCTGTGAAAATTCACTTTGGACATAATATGAATAAATTACATATATTGAAACAACCGTTCATATATTTAGCCAGGGCTCCAGACTAACTATTTTTACTAGGAGCACTGTAGCCCCTGACTGAAAAGTTTTAGGAGCACAAGCAGAAAATTTAGGGGCACACCTTAAATCAGCCTGCAATGCAATCGTTCACATATTTTCGCCATTTTAAGTGTATTACTGATCAATGCTTTGATAATAAATAGACTTAACTCATAGAGATTACAATGTGCAGTATCCCTTTAGTTTCAGAGAGATATGACAAATATATATGTGATATGATATGATATGATATGATAAAATTACTATTGTTTTGCGTTAAGTGCAGTTACTTAATAATATTACGTTCATTTCGTTTATTTCATGTTTATACACATATGACAGTAAAGCACTAAGCTTGAGTTGGGAAGCTTACAAAATGTATTTTATTAACAGCAACATGTGCAAAATCTAATTTTTATGTAGAAAATATATATATTGTACTCTTATTAAATGTACCATTATCTTCTATAGTTTGTTTGCGTCGCGGTCCGAACTGTTAAACGGTCTGCACTGCGCAGCTCAAACGAGTAGCAGGATTTTGTTACGCTTTTGTTTTGTTTGCCGTTTGATGTTTGTCATATGCAACGGAAATGGCAGCACGAGTTGAACAACGCGGTGGTCACGCCAGTGCGACTGTGCACAAAAGACTGAGCCCTGTTAGCTCATGTTGGTCAGGAAGAGGCTAATAGGGAACTAATTGATCGGAATGATTGAATGGTTAGCTCTGTGATGTTTGTGTCATTATCATTGTCCTCCCAGCTGTGTGTAGCAGTGTAATGTGTCTGGTTGAAACACAGACAAGCCGCTGCACTGGGCATAGCTCTCCTGATTATGTCACGATTTTATAACCCATCCGATAGGAGCTTTTGTTTATGGCTCCCAATGGAAAACATTGAGCGGTCCCTCAGAGCACTGCTGCTGTCATGTGTGCTGTGATTGTGAGATAACAGTCAGCCTTTTGTCTTTAGGGTCTGTGGGTACTTGAGATGTACTGATATATCCTTAATCTTTCTGTATTTGAACTTCAGAATGTCTTTCTCTCACGTCGTACTTTCACCCTACAGTTTCACTGTAAATGTGTCATTTGTCAGCCTTAATGATTCAAATTCTACCTTTTCTCTCTTGGGTTCACTCTAAGCCACTTGGGTTTTCCACATCAAAGCTGAAGTTTTCTTTAATTAGTCTTGTTTACTTCAATTATTGTGTGTTGTTTATTGAACTCTGTTGTGTTAGATACACCACAAGCATACAAAGCAACAAAATGTCAGCATTCTGTTTGGTTTCTGGTTGTGTAATGATTTTTTTTATGCGTAGCCTATATATGTCTGGGTTCTTTTTCTTGTAAAAACAGCAGCATAAAAGATTTCAGATATCATTATATGGCCATTCGCTTTGCTTTTTGTTGCAATAGGCAGGATATTTTCTTCCTTGTCGATACTTAAATATAGTTTCTGCAGTCCTAATGACATGTTTGCGAAACAGCAAGAGTCTTTCAGAGTTTCAGAGAACTTTGGCTCACCTTCTTGTAATTGACATCTCTCCTTTTTCCTCTGCTCATCCTCTTTTCCTTCCATTTTTGTCTTTCTTTAATTTGGTTATTTCGCATTGCATTTGTGCATTTCATCTTTTCATGTATGTATTTAATCGGTGGTACTTTTTGTTTTGGATGGGATTTTTTGGCAACTTTTCTGCTCCTGATTTGTTGTTAGTCGCAGAGACTTATTCAGTCACACAGGCGTATGGCTGCTGACGCGTTTGGCAAGCATTATTACATCGCTTAACTCCCTTGGACATGAAATAACAATCTCTCGCCAAGGCAACATTGAACATGCTTTTGTTCAATTCAGAATCACACAGAATCGCTCATGAAAGGAATTTTAAATTAATAAAAAGATGTAATTAGCCTTTGTGGTGTTAAGTGCTGAGTTTGCCAGGGTGAGCTGTGGGTGAACAAAGTGACAGGAAGCATTGTCTTTTTGAGTCTCTAGAAATGTTTTCTTCTCTCTCTCTTTCGCTCTCTCTTGTCTTCGTAATGTTTTTCCACCGGTTATGCTTTTCCACCAAATGAGATCAGACTGCTACAGGGTGATACATGCACTAGTGGAGATCAAAGGATAGTGTCTCTATCTTTCTCTATCTCTCTGTCTCCACCTTCATCTCTTCCTTTCCTTTTCTCTCACACACTATTATTATATACTATAAACAGAAACAATATACATCTAACCATTTTTTTCCTACTGTATATGTTTTAGGGTATTCCTCATCTATTAGAGGTGTTTTTATTAACCAGACTGTAATTGTGGGTCTTTGCGTGTTACTTTTTTACATCACAAAGACTTCGAACATTAAAGAACAAGTGCACACAACATTATGATTTGTTAGCAGCTGGACTGTGGTACATCACAGCATTTGTTTTTTTGTTGGCTGCAGATATAATGACTGGCCTGCTGTTTCAGTACCAAATATTCCTCTTGATAATGTCTCTGTGTGTGTGTCTCTCTCGTTGTTTCTTCAGGGTTGAAGAGCTCCAAAGGAAGCGTGTTTCCAGTGACAGTTCTGTGGCAGAAGCTCTTGCACACAGTGACTCGCTCAGATCAGCCAAACCAGCTCTCAGCAGGTAAGAGCTACACAGAGAACGTGATCCTCTAGAACACATCTCTGAAACTCCAGCCACGTGGATCAAGCCTGCTGCCATACAAAAATATATATTTTTTCTTTTTCAGGCTGAATGTTCTTGCATGTTCTTTCTGATCTATGTCTGTATAGCCCTAAGCAGAATATTGAGTTCTGCGCTGGTATGAGAGATGCTGATCTGTGAATGTTGAGTAGTTCTGTGAGAGAACCCTTACTAGCTCATCTTTGCTATAGCAAAAAAGAACTATCTCCTTTTGCATATCTATTTTTGTGATGTTTTATTGGTAATGTGTATAGTTTGTAGAGCTGGACAGTATGAAGTACACTTGATGGGCAACAACACACTAATGAGTGTATATCAGTTTTATAACTGTTTCGATTGTAGCTCGTCCAGTCAGAGTCAGTACCAAAAGCTTTTTACTGCATTCGTTTTAATGTTTTGAGTGTTTTGTTTTTAGCTCAAATGCTAGATTTTTAATTTATAGTAAATAATCATTATTATAATTTAATAATAATGAATAATCATATATTTTATTCTGCATTCTGAATAAAAAAGAGAAAATCAAATGAGATGAAGTTCCCTTTTAATTGTAAAATATTGCATTGATTCCCCTCTGTATGTGTAAAAGATGTGTAAATGTGTTTACTGTGCAGAAATGCATTTGGAATTTTCCTTGAACTCTGAATGTGGGTGTGGGTGTGGGTGTGGGTGTGGGTGTGGGTGTGTGTGTGTGTGTGTGTGTGTGTGTGTGTGTGTGTGTCCAAAGGGTTTTCACGAAGGTTTTTAAGGATGCATTTAATAGTTTCCCATGAGCGTTTCATGAGGGCTGCATGAAAAGATTAAACTGTTTTTGCATACATGTCATGACGCTTACAGTACATTGAAGAAAATGCTGGAATATTTCATTTATTATATTTGCTTAGAAGTCTCTGTTCCTGCTTCATTTTTATATTGTTTAGAAAATATATCTGGCAGGACATCAAGCCATTAGGCTCCTGCTTCTTGTGATGTGTATATCTGCATATGTGACCAGGAGAAGATATGGAATGTTTTCCTTAGATGCCCTTTAGGATCCCAGACCTCATAAAGGCATACAGAGAATAGAACCAACCACTGGAAACAGGCCAAGAGATAAAAATACAAAAAGCTGCTGGCCATGAACTGTTAGGTTTTACTGCACAGAAGACATAAGGGCTATCACTGCCTGACTGCTTTCTAGTCAGAAACCACAATCACAAATCTCCCTCTTGTGTGAAATCAGCTCTGTAAAGCACAGAGAGCTGTCCTGGACTCACACACTCCTTTGTGTTCCTAAATTATGGGCTCTTTGGGTCCTATTAAGTTTATCCTAGGGTCAGTAATATCTCAGTAAAAGAAACTTCAATGTCTGCCTGTGGTACATTATATAACATTTGTGCTGGCCATGAATTGATATGCTCCAATGGGGTCCAGGCCACAACCCTGCCTGAGGGGAGGAATATCTGTCCAGACCAGAAATAATAGAACCACCCCTGTTTGTAATGGTGAAATGTATCTGCATTACATCACATGCTTAATGCATTAAAAGTCTTTAAAATGCCACACCAACTCAATCCACAGTCCTTTTAATTTTATTGCCCTGTTGTTTTTGTTTTCTTTTGTGTGTGTGTGTGTGTGTGTGTGTGTGTGTGTGTTTTATTTTCCATGCCATATACTGTATAACATTTTTTGGGTTTGTTCTGCAATTTTCTCTTTTTTTAACACTTTTTTCATGTGACATCTATTTGTCATATTTGTACATTTCATACTTTTTTTTTAATTAAAGGAAGATTGATACAGCTCATACTTTAAAATACTCTTTAATGCAACAACAACAGTGAAATCACCACAATGTATTACTGAATTGATTTGGTATTTTTTCCTTTTACATTCTACTACATGCAAAATTTTTGATTTGCCCTTTCCTTTTGAATATGTCTTGCATATCCAATTTTAAAATCCACGGTGAATATGTATGAGCTGTGTGCAGCCAACAGAAAGCAAGATGTTCAATGTCATGACAGTGACAGAGCAGCTCTAATACAGCATTTTATTTACACTGAACCAAAGCGTAAAACCTAAGTGTACCTAAAACGTTTACACTATTTTTTTTACTGCCATACAAGTATCTGTATTTCCTTTGGGAAATGCAAATCTCATTTGTACTGTGTCACTGTTATGTCACACGATTATTGTCATGTCTTTATCATTTTTGTCATATATTCCCATTCATTTATTTACTTATTTACTTTTTTTTTCATTCTTTTGTCATTTTGAAGGGTGGGGGGTGTTCATCGCTCAAATACAACAGCAGCAGATTTCAAACCTACCAGCAGGTGAGACAAAGCTTTACAGACTTGTCATGTTTCTGTATTCCTCCCCTCTCTGTACCCTTTCAGTTGTGTCTTCTCAGAGCTGCTATAGATGTTAGTGTTGAAAGTGTTCAAAGAGCGGCTCTACTCTTTTAATCCCAGTGGGGATAGTTACCGGCCAGTGGCTTTTCTTAATGTGCACTATGAGTGTCATTGCTGCAATGAGGAAAAGAACTCTTGCACAGCAGGACCTCACCATTTGTGCTGCTGATTATTATTTTTACTGGCCTGTTCTGTTCCTTATTAGGCCCAGCTGTCTCTGTTGACACGGCATTAGAGGGTAGAAGAGATGCACACACGCACATAAGAAGAACACATAAACTGCCAAAAGTTCTGCGAAGCAAAGTACAATCAGAGTAGTAATTTACCCTGTTCTGGTCTAATCTAGTCTGTGCTGATCCAGTAGGGTCACTCCTAGTCTGGTTTGTTCGTGTTTTGTCTTGTCTGGCATTCTCCAGTGTGATGTCTGTCATCGTATTCTCTTAACTGCTGTTTGCTTGAAGACTAAGGGCTGGTTCACACAGTAACTTGTAAATAGCTTCTTCTATGTAAATAGCTGCTAAACGGACGTCTTTGACAATTGCGGTATGTCTTGCTGCTTGCACATAAGCTTTCTGTTTTGAAGACACTGTGTAAGGTTAAAAGAAGTTCAACTTTTAAAAACATCTCAAGACCTTGCCTTTCTTCCATTCATCAGCGCTGCAGCTCTGCAGTTGGATACTATTGTGTGGCGTCTCGTGTGTTTTTTTAAAGCAAAAATGCGTTCTTGTGTGAACAGAAGGGGTTCTAAAAGGTAAAGGGATAGTTCACTCATTTACCCATCCTCTTGTTCCAACCCTGTATGACTGTTAAACATAAAAAAGGAAATTTTGAGCAGTGTCTTCACTGGTTTCCAGAAAAAAGTCATAGATGTTTGGAATGCTATTAGAATGAGTAAATGTTAAAAGAATTCTTTTTTGGTGAACGGTCCCTTTAAGGGATGGCTTCAACATAGACAAGCATAAAGATAGCTTGTTTAAATTGTGACTGCCTGGAAAAATCATGAATCTGTTCTTATATGACACTATCTCTTCCAGTGCTCATATTCTGCAGCTCATCAATACCTCAAATCAGCTTAACATGCTCGAAAGTTTGATTAAACCAGCAGCTTGTACTCTATCTCTCTCTCTATCTCTCTCTCTCTCTCTCTCTGTCTACCAGGGAAATTGATTAGGTTTCTGCTATTGTTGGTTTAATTTTGAATAGGAGTCGTAATTAAATGATGCATGTTTTATGTTGTTTTTCTGTCATACATAAATGAGGGATTTGCATTTTCCTCTAATGGAATTATAGCTGAGCCCATGAGTAACTCTCATTCTGAGGCAGATTTACATCTGAACACTGATACTCAAAGCAAATAACAACAGGAGGAAGCAGGAGCAGGAGTGAGAGATTAGCCCCTTGTTTCCTGAGCAGTCTGAGCGAACTATCTTTAATGTGGTGTCTGCAAATGGTAAACTGGAAGGAGCATAATAAAGGTTATATTGATGAGGAGAAGAAAACAAGGAAAGATACTCAAGAGCAGCGAGGGCAGTTTAATGGTGCATGCATCGCAGCCTTCATTATCAAGCTGAGATCCCGTTGATGCCAAAGTCTGATTGGTCCCTAGTGAGCTGAACTTTGAACCTTAAAGCCTTTTTACATTGAAGTATATTGAAGTTTCCTCTAATGGTATTGTATTCACAGCACGGACCATCAAGCTTCCTCATTAAGACCTGCTTTTGCTTAAAGAAAGACTTCTGCTCATAAATCTCAGTAGTGATTAGAGGAGAACATTCCAGTCCAAAATCAATAATAAAACTGGCCTGCAAATGAGATTTGTTGTATTTGTGAGAGCTGGTAGGAGCTGGTGATCTGGCTGAGTAAACCCCAGGCCGGTCCGGATTCAGATTGCTGTTTCTCTCTAGAGCTAATAAGAGGTTTCTGGACTCATATCGAATAATTGGCCCAATGTCACATTTCTACCCTTTCTCTAAATGTGCTAAATTACTAGCAATTACAGCTAGCAAAAACTCAATAACCCCATTAAAGCTGCTATGAGCATGTGTGTGAGTGCAGGGTGCATGTTAGCGTGTGTGAGTGTGTTGTGAAAGCAGGCTGAGGAACATCAGTAATTACAGCTGCCGTCTGGGTTACATACCAAGGAATGGTTCAGACATGTTTAAACACTGGATGATTATTTAGGCTGGGGGAATAAACCATTGCCAGCTTTTCCTCCAGGACATGATGGTTAGAGAGATGCATTTACCCTGATTCCAGTCACATGCATCAAGCTCTCATAATACATAGAGATTTGAGTGCCATTGTCGAATCTTCCCTCCTCATGCACTGTAATGTGAGTCCCAACGCAGCTGTTCACCATTTTCCATCCGAAGAGGAAGAGGTTGTATCTCAGCAAAATGGATATGGCTGAAAATAAATGTGGATGCTGATCACTTCAGCAAGAGTATAGCTCAGTGATGTGAATCTGTTTGAAGTACTTGTGTTTTTCTCAATTGTAGTGCTGCTGTGAACTTTCAGTCACACAGGAAAAGATTGGCTGCTCTGAACATTCCCCATGGCTGACCAGACATCAGTGTATTTGAATCTCATTTGTCATGATAGAGCTATATGAAAAGATAAATTGTGATTGATAGAGATGGTTTTTGATAGCCGAGAGTCGCGATTTGTGGTTTCAGGGATCTGAAATCCACTTACCTGAGCAAATTTCACTGCCTGAAGGCTGAACCTCAGCTGCAAGGCTAGAGGAGGCATGCAAACATTACAGCAAATGTGTGTGTGTGTGTTTGTTGGAAAGACATGTCAGAGCCCAGATTTATGAGCCTGCGAACTGCTTTTAATTATGGGAAACACTCAGATTCTTTAGCAAGGCCCCCCCCCCACCAATCACTCATAGACATATCACAATGGAAACAGTGTGTTGTGGCTTTGACTTAAGTGTTTGTGAACTCCGTTACCTTTCCCTCCCTCTTTTTCTTTCTCACTCAATTTGAGACTGCGTATTCGAAGTGAAACGCGTTTATTGTTTTTCAATTGACCGTGATCTGACTTCTCTTGACCTCTGACCCCTGTATTGCACTTCATTATGAAATACCAAAGATCTGCATTATAGTCAACTCTTCTATGAAAAGCTGTAGGTGTTTCTGGTGAAAAAACAACCTCAGAGCCACACTGCTTCTAGCAAAGCTCAGGATCCAAAGCCCTGTGTGCCACACGTCTCTGTTTCTTAATGTCCCAGCCTTCTTGTTGTGTGATGAGGAACTCTTTGATCAAATATTCTTTTAGGTGAGAGCACACAGAAGATGCTCCAGTCAGGGGAAGAGACAGAGAGGAGGTGTAGTGTCGACGATGGCGTCATCATTATCATTAGGCGGGTTCGACTTTGGCTGCGTTTGCCTTTACCGATCAGTGAGATTTTTGGGGGAGGAGTTGAAAAAAGAGCTATCATATTGGACATTTTAAACTTCTCATAGTGATGTTCACACAGTGTTTGTGTACTTTGTTGGAGACAGAGTGGATTAGATTAAATATTTCTCAGATAAACACACTTTTGAATTTCATGTCTAGCAACCAGAAACACTGTTATATGCTTCTTAATACAGAGAAGAATGTTTAGAATGTTGACGTACTTTTATCAGTTTTATTTTGATGAGCATAACATTTGTAACAGTATGACATTAAGATTACATAAAAAGAGTGTTTACTGTTTTAAAACATTGATGTGTGAGCATTAGTGGAACTTGAATGATCCGAATAAATATGAAAGGCACACCATCGGTGAGTCTGACCAATCGTGAAATGGCTGTTATCATCAGAGCTCTTGCAGCCACTCTGGAAAAATTCTGCTGGCTGATCCAGCCGACTGCCCTCGAATCGCTCTTGTGGTACTCTGATGGCATCAGCACCACACCAGTCAAAACAAAATTTCTAACTGACATGCCCTGCTCAAGACTCGTTCTGTGCAGGGTCAAATATGAAGTCAAACAGACCTCATGTCACTCAGATAGCATTGCAGTGACATTCATTGAGATTTGGTTCCCTCCTCAATTCATCTCTTGCTCTTATATGTTGAAGCTCATTTGGAGTCATTATTCTTTTGCTCATTACATTTCTGAGATGTTGTATGTTGAGAGGGGATAAAAGAGTCTGCATGCATGTGCATTGTAGCCATTCTTTAGGATCATTTGAACAGCTTCATCAGGCAAAACATCAGAAGATGATTCTAGTTGAGATTAATGGCTTCACACACTTGTGCATCAAGAACTTATGTTTCAGATGCTTGCTGTGAAGAAGTCCTCTAAAAGATTTGTGTCAGTTGATTTGAAGTGTATCATTCACTCAGATGTTTCTGTTTCTCCCACAGGTTTGACAAGAGCAACCTGAACAATGCAAACTCTGGTAAGGAGTTTAAGTAGTGCTCTAATTTTGCTTTCATCTCTTCAGTGAATGAACATCAAGTGAACTTTTTCCAGAGTTGCTTTGGTCTAATTCTGAATGGATGAATTTAAAAGGAAACACAATGAGGGCTGAATTTTAGTCCTTTCTTGTGAGAACAAGTTAAAGTCGTACAGTGTCTCAGGTCTCTGCGAGAAGCAAATTGGGACCGCTACATGTAGTGGAGGAGCAGCTCTTGCTCTGTGAATCGTTTCTGACTTTCATTACGTGTAAGTTGAGTGTTAAACGCTCCTTGGTCTTCGTTCTTGTTCCTTTTTAATGAGCTGCTGCCTGTTAGGAGAGGGCATGTGCCAAGGCTGTGGTGTTTTCCGCTCTCTTGGCATTGGTAGAGGAGGAAGAGAGCGAGGAGGAAAGGACTGTCTCATAGTCTGTGAGGTGCAGCGAGGCAGAGCAGGTTATCATCACTCACATTGATCCACATTAGAATTCAGCTCTAGCTCCAAAGCTTCCTGGCATGAGCAGAGGAGGAATGCGTTTCCGAAAACCTGATTTGGCCCTGTGCACGCTTTCTCTAGACAGGAAAAAAAGACTCTTCAATTCCGTAAAGCGGCCAAGTTTTGAGAGCTGGATTGGAGCGGGCATATCTTTAGACACAGGCGTAGATTTAGCCACGCAGTGCGCTCTACAGTGTGTGTTAGCCCGACATCCCAGCTGGGTGTTTTCATATTTGACCTCTCGAGGTTTGTGAAGCAACACATGATTGCTGGATTAGGAAGGCAAATCTACAAAGGGCATTGCAAAGCTTTGAACACAGATTTAGCATATTGAGACTGAACCCTCAGAGCCAGCATCAGCTAATGTGATTAACACCCATAATTAAAATCATATTTTTACTCCCTTTTTTAACTGTCTGCTCCCAAAGCATTAAATAAACAGAACATCTTCTTGTGTAACTCTGAATAACTTAATATTGAACAAATATGCATAAGCGATTTGTACATGTAGTACAGTTTCTGAATAATAATACCTCTAAGTAATAATGGAGTCATCAATTGCCATGAGGAAACTACACTACAACACTAGTATTTGCACGTTTTCTGGTTTACAGCTTTACAAATCTTTTACAAATAATGCATTTGTTTTTATGCTGATGCCATACAGATTCACACGTGGTCACAATTCATCTTTTGAAATTTATGTAATGACAATATTTCATCTTCTCATAAATCCATCTTCCAAACAGTGTTTTTGCCTTACCCTGAATCTCTACAGTAAGCCTATAAAAATAATTTATATATATATATATATATATATAGAGAGAGAGAGAGAGATCTGTCGGGTCGGATTTAACGGCATGCTTCCGTCATTTTTCTGTGCGTTTATGTCATATTTGTAAATAAAGGAAAGAAGGTCAGGTTACTACTCGATAATGCCCATAATAAAACTTCAACAATTGCTTGGCTTTTCAAAAATGTTTAGTCTGCATAAAATCTCATTTACTAGGTTCATAAAAAAATGTCAATCTCTAAACCAGTTACTACGTTGGTCTATTTGCCTATAACTAGCCTACTAGCAAAGTTGTAATTGTTTCCATGTTAACTTATTCAGATATGAATAGCAATCGATATGTCTAATGCCAAACTTTTGTAAAAAAAAATTTTTTTAAACGGTAGTTTTAAAAGAGTCAAAACAACTGTGCCATAAAAGCTACTTACTTTCTCTTACTTTTTTATTCCTTAATTTTTGGATGTCTGTCTTTCTTTGATTCTTTATTTATTTGTCTGTTTATTTATTGGAGTCAGGGAGTTTTGATATTGTTAATGACCTTTGCATACATTGTGCTTATGTATTCATTCATCTGCACATAATAGTGGAAGCACATTTCACAATCACCAAAACAATGTTCCTCCGGAAGAAACAATTATGCTTCAACCACTAGAGTGTCAAAAGTTACATAGTGTAGCTTTAATTGCACATAAGCAAAATTATTAAAATAAGATCAGGAACAATTAAAACGGCTTCATCCAGTTTAGCTACCAAAAACAGCAAAATTATAGTTCAGTCTCAATTAAATATTTTTTCATGCTAATGACATACTGTTCTGATCGCCTGTCATCTTGGTACACTCAGTCTTTGCTTTAATTACACTTAAGTAATCATTTTAAAATAAGTTCAAGATCAATTAAAAAGACCTCCTCCAGTTCAGCTATGAAAACAGCAAAAAATAATGTTTCAGTATCCATTAACTAACTGTTTTTGATGCTGGTGACATACTTTTTCACACATCACATTTAATCTTAGTAAACAGTATTTGCTTTGTAATTATTTAAGTCAAAATAAGTTCAAGAACTATAAAAAAAAGAAAAAATACCCTTGAATCTTCATTAATAGAGTACTCTTCTTTAACAGTGTCAGCAGACAGTCTAATTGAATGTGTGAAGAAGAAGGACCATCAGAAGGTAAGAGCATCATTTGAATACATTAAGCACATAAATACAACAACCTTGCTTTTTCACCTTCTAGGTTTCTCCGATTTTGGTGTTGTCTTTTGGCAGAGGTTTTTTTTAATGGTTTGCAAGCACATACACCTATTATTTGAGTAGGTAGCTCGGATGTTGTGTTTTGACAGTGATTTAATATGCAAGAGAGCGATCCGTGTGCTTTTAGTTAAATGTTCACTCGGCCTAAAGGATATTCTGTCGTCTCTAATTCAGGACTGACCTCACCATTAAATGTCAAGTATCTTGCAGAGCGGAGGCGGAACCAGATAAATGATCCTGCATATTCTCTTGACCTTTCACTCGTTCTTGGTTTCTATGGTGACCAAACAGGCTTTCTCTAGAATGATAAATTCTCACACCCAGCCCAAAACCTGTTCCCACTCGTAATGCCTCGGTACAGAGAGGAGAAGAGGGGACATTTCAGATATTAATGAGGGTGTTTGGCATGTTGCAGTGGGCAGCTATGTACAGTACACAGCATCCTTTACCTGCCCCAATACATCTTCTTTTAAGAGTTAGTTCACCCAAAAATGACAATTCTGTCAATAACTGCTCACCCTCATGTCGTTCCAAACCCATAAGACCTTCGTTCATCTTCGGAACACAAGTTAAGATATTTTTGATTAAATCCGAGACCTCTCTGACCCACCATAGACAGCAAGGGTCCCTACCGTGATCAAGGCACAGAAACATAGTAAGGACATCATTAAAATGGTCCATGTGACATCAGTGGTTCAACCATAATTTTACGAAGCTACTTTTGTGCGCAAAGAAAACAAAAATAACGACTTTATTCAACTATTTCTTCTCTTCCGGGAGAGTCCTCCGTCATTATGGATGCATGCGCGTGGTACTGCTGACGTTAATGGCAGAGGACTGTCCCGGAAGAGAAGAAATCGATGAATAAAGTCATTATTTTTGTTTTCTTTGAGCACAAAAAGTATTCTCGTAGCTTCGTAAAATTGCGGTTGAACCACTGATGTCACATGGACAATTTTAACAACGTCCTTACTACGTTTCTGTGCCTTGACCGTGGTAGGACACGGATTTCATCAAACATATGTTAATTTGTGTTCCAAAGATGAATGAAGGTCTTAGGGGTTTGGATCGGCATGAGGGTAATTAATGACAGAATTTTCATTTTTGGGTGAACTAACTCTTTAAATAAACATCTCACAGCTGGACCATAGAACCATAAACAGTCAACTCTGTGGCGTGAAATATGCAGAACTACATTCAGACTCTCACACACAGATGCTCAGGTGTGTCTGTAATTACCCGATTGTGGAGTGCAAAGAGTGCACTGTGTGGTGTGTAGATGGTGTCTTCTCTTTCCTCTCAGGGCATTTATCATCAGGAATCTCCTCCAAGTGAGACTGAAAACTGGTGGATAAAAAGCCTCTGATAATACTAATCTTTAGACTCACTGGACTAGTGATAATGCCAGTATTTTATGCCCAAACTCTCTCTGGTGTATAAAAGAGTCCTAGCAAGTTTCTGACAGATTTTGGGCTTTATCGCATGGAAGGGTCCTTTGGACCCATTGAGACGGTCACTGGCATGCTTGCGATCAGCCTCCAGCCAACCTTGTGCTTTTCTCCTTAAGCACATCTGAGCCCATCACTAGATTCCACTTGAATAACTGTGTGGAAACCAGTACTTTTTTGGCACAATCCGAGACCTCTCTGACCCACCATAGACAGCAAGGGTCCCTACCGTGATCAAGGCACAGAAACATAGTAAGGACATCATTAAAATGGTCCATGTGACATCAGTGGTTCAACCATAATTTTACGAAGCTACTTTTGTGCGCAAAGAAAACAAAAATAACGACTTTATTCAACTATTTCTTCTCTTCCGGGAGAGTCCTCCGTCATTATGGATGCATGCGCGTGGTACTGCTGACGTTAATGGCAGAGGACTGTCCCGGAAGAGAAGAAATCGATGAATAAAGTCATTATTTTTGTTTTCTTTGAGCACAAAAAGTATTCTCGTAGCTTCGTAAAATTGCGGTTGAACCACTGATGTCACATGGACAATTTTAACAACGTCCTTACTACGTTTCTGTGCCTTGACCGTGGTAGGACACGGATTTCATCAAACATATGTTAATTTGTGTTCCAAAGATGAATGAAGGTCTTAGGGGTTTGGATCGGCATGAGGGTAATTAATGACAGAATTTTCATTTTTGGGTGAACTAACTCTTTAAATAAACATCTCACAGCTGGACCATAGAACCATAAACAGTCAACTCTGTGGCGTGAAATATGCAGAACTACATTCAGACTCTCACACACAGATGCTCAGGTGTGTCTGTAATTACCCGATTGTGGAGTGCAAAGAGTGCACTGTGTGGTGTGTAGATGGTGTCTTCTCTTTCCTCTCAGGGCATTTATCATCAGGAATCTCCTCCAAGTGAGACTGAAAACTGGTGGATAAAAAGCCTCTGATAATACTAATCTTTAGACTCACTGGACTAGTGATAATGCCAGTATTTTATGCCCAAACTCTCTCTGGTGTATAAAAGAGTCCTAGCAAGTTTCTGACAGATTTTGGGCTTTATCGCATGGAAGGGTCCTTTGGACCCATTGAGACGGTCACTGGCATGCTTGCGATCAGCCTCCAGCCAACCTTGTGCTTTTCTCCTTAAGCACATCTGAGCCCATCACTAGATTCCACTTGAATAACTGTGTGGAAACCAGTACTTTTTTGGCACTTTGCAATAATTAATAAGACTCAGAGATCAAGGTACCATGTGGCTTCCCGTCATGATGCTCTCTTTGGTTTTCTGTTGTTTGAGATGTGTTTATCTCAGTGTTTGTTTGTATGACTGGCAGCTTTTTCTCTGCAGTTGAAGGAGCTGCATAAGAAGGGGGCTGACCTGTGTGTGCAGGACGCTGTGGGCCGCACCCTGCTGCACTATGCTGTGGAAGTGGGAAGCAAGGAGATCGTCAGATACATCATTGATATTGGTAAAATGATCACGTAACACATGTCTGTAACAGCTCTCAAAAACCGCTGGCATAGACAAAATGGCTTTATCTGTGCAATATTTATGCCTGTATGTTTACCAATCATTTAAAAATCATTTGTGTCCAAACTTCTGACTGGTGTTGTTTGTGTGTGGGGGGGGTGCTGTGTGAAGCAGGTCATCTCTCTCTCCCACGCAAGCTTTTTACAGCTCTTCATTAAGCAATACACCATCACCTCTTGATTCCCCCCCCCCCCCC